CCTAGGCTATAATCTTTACAGAAAGGAGCTCTGATAGCGTAGTGGTTATAAGTTGGGCTGCTAACATAAGGGTCAGCAGTTCCACAGGAGAAAGATAAGGCTTTCTGCTCCTGTAAAGAGTTATAGCAGGGTCACTATGAGTCAGAACTGATTCCACGGCACACCACCATCACCACCACCACAAATCATTCCAGAAGCAGACTGCTAAATCTTTCTCCTAGAGCAGCTGGTAGGTTCGAACCGCTGACCTTTCAGTTAGCAGCTGAGCACTTAATCACTGCTCCACCAGGGTTCTTTTATATTTATATGACAACCATTCATTCAGCCCCCTCATCACATCAATCACTGCATTGTTGCCAAGAAAAAAAAAAGATGAATAAGTTATTATATCCTCAAGAGCTTAGAGTCAGGCAATGGGGAGGCAGGAAAGGTCCCAGACAGAATATGAAAAATAGTAATGACCCAAACAGCCCAAGCATACAGCTGCAGTAACATGAACAAGACAATACAAACACTACTTAGTTTTCACTCTGCCAGGTGAGTCTCAGTGCTGGGCATGAATGCAATCAGCTCTACCAGGTGTTGAGCTAGACTGGAATGTCCCCCAAATTCATGTGCAACACAGCAACAAATTAAAGTCACTGACAGCTCAGGTACGCTCAGTACTCTGGGTTCTATGCCTTATAGGCTAATGAGGTCCCTGAGCTGTGCAGAACGTTTGCAACAGGGCTGGTAACTGAAAATTGAGTGGTTCAAACCCACCTACAGCACATTGGAAGAAAAGCCTTGCTTCTGTAAAGATTACATACAGCTAAGAAAGTCCTGGTGTGGCGCTGGAGGAGAAGCACTGGGCCACAAGGACAGTTTGAACTGCAAGGTTGGTGGTTCAAATTCACCAGCCACTCTTCAGAAACCCTACACAAGGGTCACTATGACTCAGAACTGACTTGACCCGCACTGAACAAGAAAACCCCATGAAGTCCTTCTATTCTGTCACCATGAGGTGGAATGAGCTGGAGGGCACAAGACAGCAACAACACAAGGTTAGTGCATTAAAAGTTTTGCTGCTGAAGTAATAATATTTCAGTTACCTCTGAATGACTCATTTTTCCTCGTGCTTAGGAGCTGGGGTTATTCCGTGGGAGTGACAGATTCTAATGCTTTGAGCGACCTTATTTGGCATCACATCTACCTTGCTTCCAGGTAGAGTCTGCCCCCATTTTTCAGATGAAAAGACCGAGTGCCCAGCAAGATCTGGCCTCTGCAGCATGAGCACTGAATCCATTAGTCCTTTATGTGGGTGGTAGCCCTGGGTCATGATCCCTGAGGCCACAGTTCTGGTCGCAGGCACAGAAGCGTTCCTGCAAAGCTGGTTAGACATGTTGGGAAACATATTCCCAGCTGTCCCTGACACGGACAGCAAATATTTACCAAATGGACCAAAATGTCATCACCCTGGCTGAGCAGTGTCGCAAGTCCCTGCCTGGATCAGGAGGATAGGTGTAGCAGCTGCTGGTAGGAGCCCCGGTTGCTGGTTAACAAGGAGCCCTGGAAGCCAGTGGTTAATTATTCTGGGAGTTTAGGGGGCCTACAACGCTCCTGGCAAGCTTCTGAAAAGCTAAGCTGTAACCCTGCGTGCAAACCCCCACAAGCCAAACTCCATACCAAATCTACCAACGCCAAGTCGATTCCAACTCACAGTGACCCTATCTAGGTTTTCAGAGGTTATAAATCTCTATGGGAGCAGAAAGCCGCATGTTTGTCCTGAAGAGTAGCTGGTGAGTTTGAACTGCCAACCTGGTGGTTAGCAGGCCAGTGCTTATCCTACAGCAACACCAAGGCTTTGCATGCAAATCCTAGTAAGGTTTGATTAAATCATTCTTTCCTTTGGGCAAGCCAACCCTAGACTTGCCCAGACCCACCAGAGAAGATTTTCTCAGGAGGAGCCAGGCCTAGTTCGGAATCCCTGGGTGGTGCAGCTGATTAATGTGCTCAGCTGCTAACCAAGAGGTTGGAGGTTCGAATCTATCCAGAGGCACTACCGAAAAAAGGCCTGATGATTTACTTCTAAAAAATCAGCCTTTGGAAACCCTATGAGCAGTTCTACTGATACACATGGGGTCACCACGAGTTGGAAATGACTCTGACTAGTTTAGGCTTGGGTTCCCTTGCTGGGGCTGGGACTAGGGTGGGTTTGGGGAACCTAACTTAAAAACGTTGACTGCAGCTTAACCCCTGTTGCTTACAGTTTGTCACGTGTTTCCAAATCCTGGGTCACAACACGTTCTCCCTTCGTTCTGGAGAGCCGGAAGACTCACTGGAGGGGCTCCTACACTGAGCTCAGTGAAGACTGGATCCTTTCTCTAATAAGCTGTGTGTCTTTGGGGAAATCACAGAACCTCTCAGAACCTGCATTCACATCTAAAAATGAATCTGTTACATAATGAATCAGTTCACAACACTCCCTTCTTTCTGGAGTTATGATAGGAAAAGCCAGTTTTCCCTCCCTAGCTTAAAAGTTTTGAGGACAAGAACGCTAAACAAACAAAAAACCACCAAACCCTTGGACAGCCACGTAGAGTTGGATGTAACTCATGACTTACAAAGCAGAACTGCTCCACAGTGTTTTCTTGGCTATAATCTTTAACAAAAACAGATCACAGGCCTTTCTCCATGGTGACGCTGTGTGGGTTTGAACCACCAATTTTTAGGTTATTAGTAGCTAAGCACAACCTAATTCTCATATTTTTTGCTCTTTCCCCCAGTGCTGAAAGCCTAAGAGGCACTCAGCATGCTGGGTATGTAAAAATCCTAAGAAATAGCAGGAATTTTGATATTTACTTTGCTCAGCACCTAGCTAGATAGTTTTTATGGGTTTACCTCACTTAATCCTCATAGCTTTCAGGGAAAGATACATTTTAAAGACAAAGAAACTGAGGCTCAGAGAGACTCAGCACTGTGCCAGGTAACCTGGAATGGAGTAGATGGGACAGGAGGTCTAATGTGCTGTTAAGTCAAGCCATTCTCCTCCAAGGGAAGCAAACTGTGTCTGAGACTAGCTTGAAAGGGTGGGGGTTTTTACACAATTAAAAACAGCCACTAAGAAAGGGGCTCAGGATAGGGAGATGGGGATGCCTCACTCTCTCCACCTTTCTCAACAGCTGTGGTCAATTGTCTGTTGTTTGCTAATAGAGCAGCTGTTCTTATCTGGGGATGGTGTGCCTGCCTTCCCCAAGAAGACATCTGGCCACTGTCAGATCTTTCAAGGTCCTGGCTGGTAGAGTCTGCTTTCCACTAAGAGTGTGGTACTGTAGGATAATCAATCTCACCAGCCAACTGCTCCTCAAAAGCCCTATACAGGGACAGTATGGGTCAGAAACGACTCCATGGCACTTGACAACAACAACATGAACATACACTAAAGTTGGTGATTCTACCCCTCCTAGCGATGCATGAAAGAAAGTTTGGCAATCTGTTTCTGTAAGGATTAAAGCCAAGGACATCCTCTAGACCTCAGTTCTGGCTTGGTGATACAAGGGTTTGCCATGAGCTGGCTCGACCGTGACAGGTTTGGTTTTTTCGCTTTGGACATTCTTTTGGTTACCACAACTAGAGGGTGCGCTGCTGGAATCTAAGGGTAGAGGTCAGAGAGGTTGCTGGAATCTAAGGGTAGAGGTCAGAGAGGTTGTTAAACATCCTACGATGTAAAGACACACCCTGCTGGCCCCATAAACTAAAATGATCTAGTCTCAGTTGCCAAGGTTAAAAAGCCTTGGGCTAGGGAAATGAGGCTAGATCCAATGGGATCTTGCTTAGGACTTTGTCTGAATTCCCTTCTGAAATATGTACTATGCCCATTTCATAGATGAGGAACTGAGGCCCATAGGATGGGACTCAACTCCAGAAAACTCCACGTAAAATCAAGATTCTATGCTGCTGGGGTCTCCTTGTGGACGTGGGGAAATGAACTCTTTTACAGTTGTGGTCAGGGGAAAAGGAAAGTAACTTCAGAGCCAAGAAATCGGAGTCTGGTCCATGCTTTTGGTGTAAATTCACTGTGTAACCTTGGGTAAGTAAGTACCCCTCTTTGGTTTTGTTTCCAAAGTAGGAGCCAGACCAGATAACTACTTGATCCTCTTCCCCTCCTCCTCTGCCTCCAGCACTGGTAGACACTGCCCCTTTGCTACAGAGATGGTGACTCAGGGGCGAGAAGGATGGGAGGGTGACCTGGGTCCAACAAGGGGCTCTGGGGGTCTTCTCAGACACCTAGTCCACTTCTGCCTCAAGGAGTACAGGGTCCCTTCCTTGGGAAATCTTGGGAAGGAAGTTACCCTTGAACAGGGAGGTTCAAACTTCTGGGTCTGGACCCCCTCACCCCAACCCCTGGGCAGTTCCTAAGATTAGCCTTTAAGCTTGAGCTTCCAGAACATTCTGACTAAGCTGTGACTGGGCTCCTAATAAACTCTGAATTTATCCCTCTCTCAACATGAGGATGTCCTGCCAAATTGTGGGGGGCTGTGGGGATCCAATACAGGTCACAGCAAGAGTCACCTTAGTAGCTTAGAAGCAAGAAGGGAGACCCCAGAATTATGGGGTAGAGGACAGTTTGCTAGTGGGTATGACAAATCTGTCACAGGAAGGCAAGAAAGGGCTCTGGGGCCCCAGCTGGCTTTAAAAAAAAGGGACAGGATCCCCAAGACCCTCAGCCTGCACAAAGCTCCCTCAGCAGGGCATGCTGGAACTGGGCATGCTCCTTAGAAAAACCAAGGCAGCCCAAAGGTACAAGGATTTAGCACTTGGCTGTTTTATTTCCTCAACAGAAAAACAGGAGGGGGTAATAGGGCCCCAGCTCAGCACGATGACAGGTAAGCAGGGGCGTTCTGGCTACCTATCACCATCTCTTCCTGCTTCCACACATTAACGGAATTCCTGGCCTCAGGGACATCACCCCTTGGGTCACCTGAGTTGGATAAAGAAACTTTATCCTGGTCACGTCTGCCTCAGAGGGTCTTCCCCCGGCCCTCAGAGATGACCTCCTCAGGCTGGGCACGCATGTACCACTCCACCCAGGAGCCGTCATAGATGGCCACATCAGACTTGCCACACAGGTAGGCCCCCAGCGCCACATGGCAGGCTGTGACACCAGAGCCACATGTGGCCACCAGTGGCCGGGACAGGTCCACCTTCTTCTCCTGAAACAGGCGGTGGAGCTCCTCAGGGCTCTTCTCCAGGCCCTCCTTGGTCAGGAAATCTGTGAAGGGGATGTTGACGGTGCCAGGGATGTGGCCAGGTTCGATGCCTGCAGTGGGAGAGCAGGAAGGAGAAAACAGGGTGTTGTGAACAGTGGCACACCTAGTGGAGGCTCCCAGCCAGGCAGTCTCACAATTCCTCTTCCCAACCACAATAGGCAGACACTCCCATTTCACAGATGGTGATACTGAGGCCATGTTGCCAGCAAATTGCTGGCTGAGTTTTGAACCTAAGTTTCAGAGTCCACCAGAGCCACACTGCTCCCCACTCCCCTGTGTCCCAACTGTGTCCCCTGAGGGTGAGAAGGCAAGAAACAAAACCTTTCTGCTTAGGATCTGCAGGCAAGGAATTTGGAGCCACCTGAGTACCTGCAGGTATGGAAACCCCTTGTTGTTGATTCTGACTCATGGGGCCCCCATACAAACAGAGCTGTGATCTTTACAAATTCAAATTACCAGGCCTTTCTTCTGCAGCACTACCAGGTGGGTTCCAGCTGCCAACATTCAGGTTAGCAGCAGGGCACAAACTGTTAGCATCTCCCAGGGACCTGACAAGTATGCTTAAAACCCATTGCTATGGAGTAGACTCTGACTCACAGTGGCCCTATACGAAAGAATAGAATTGTCCCATAGGGTTTCCAAGGTTGTTAATCTTTTTGGAAGTCAACTGCCGCATCTTTCTCCCGCTGGCGAGTCTGATTTGCCAACCTTTCTGTTAGCAGTCCAGACAGTTAACCAAATGGGCCACCAGGGATCCTTACAAGTTCGTGGTTGTTGTCAAGTGCTATTAAGTTGGTTCTGACTCCTAGTGAACTGTACAGCATTTCCAAGGACAGGCTAGTGGGTTTGAACCACCAACCTTGCGATTAACAGTCCAGTGTATTTCCTACAGTGCCACTCCAGGACTCCTAGTATAGATGTTACCAAATCCTTACAGGTAAGCATGGGGATATCCTAAATAATAATAATGATAATAGTAACAGTGACATTAGCAAGTGCTCACTTTATGCTGGACAGTGTTATCAGACCCTCAGCAATATTTTCTCCTTTAACCTTACCCCTACCACCCCAAGCTGTAGGGAAAAGCAGCCATCATCTCTCTTTTATACAGAGACAGACACACAGAACATCCTGTCTACCAGTATGCGCAACCAGAATTTAGACCCAGGCTCAGCAACCCCAGGGCTGTTAGACACCAGGTCTAGGGGCCTGGGCAGCAGGGACAGAAGAGGGAGGTGGAGACAGAAAGGGATTGCAAGGTGCCTAGAGGGGTTCAAGGGCAGTACGTAGATGGGCAAAGCCCCAATGGGCAGCCGAGGCGGGAGGCGCCCTCACAAGTCTGGATAAGATTTCTGGCCTTTGACTTGATGGCAATGGGAAATCTAACTTCTGTTTTAAAAGGTTATTTTCCTGGTGGCATGAAGGAGAGCCAGAGGACTATTCACTAACAGGCTTGTCCTGACCCACATCCTACAAACACACCATTGTTGCTGGTGATGGTTGTGTGCCTTCAAGTCAGTTCTGAGTCAGAACAACCCTGTATAGGGTTTCTGGGGCTGTCAATCTACATGGGAGCAGAAAGCCTCATCTCTCGCCCACAGAGCAGCTGGTGGCTTTAAACTGCTGACCTCGAAGTTAGCAGCCCAACTTGTAACCCACTCCGCCACCAGGGCTCCTTAGGCAGGTGGTGTTGTAGATCTGTCGAGTTGGTTCTGAACTCATTTGAACCACCAACCTTGTAGTTCAAATGGACCTTTCATTCCAGTGTTTATTGTATAGCTCTACACCAGGCAGGTGTCATACCAGGTATTTCCATTTCATGTGGAGGCTTGAGACCAGCCACCAAATAGACACTAAAGGTTAATGACTCACACCTGGTCCATTCTGCCTTTACAGATGGGCTCCAGGATCACTTCTGCCTTGGTTTCCCCATCAGTTATCTGTCTAGAGCTGCCATAACAAAAATACTATGAGTGGGTGACTTAAACAAACAGAAATGTTTCCTCTCACAGTTTAGGAGGCTGGAAGTGTGAGCTCTGGGCCCTGGTTCTAGGTAAGGTTTTGTCTGTCAGCTCTAGAAGAAGGTCTGTGTCTCTTTCAGTTTGTGTTCCTAGGCCTTCTTCATATGACTTGACATCTCTCCTCTCCAGTCTGCTCTGCTCACGTTAACCTCTTAGCTCTCAAAAGAGACTGACTCAAAATATGCCTTGCACTAATCCCACTTCATTAACATAACACAACTAGTTGGATGCCCGTTGTTGTTACATGCTGTGGAGTTGGTTCTGACTCATAGCGACCCTGTACAGCGTTTCTGAGGCTGGAAATCTTTACGAAAGCAGTAAGCCTCATCTTTATCCTGTGGAACAGCTGGTAGTTACAAACTACTGACCCTGAGGTTAGCAGCCTGATTCATAAACACTACGCTATCAGAGCTCCATTGGACCTAATATCATCATTGCCCTGCTCCATGTGGCAGGGACCTCCAGAATTCAACCGTCTGTTGGGCCTTGCAGTGCAGTAAATAACTTAATAATGACCTTTCTAGCCACAATCTTAGTTGTTGTTGTTAAAAACTGTTGATTCCAACTTATAAGGACCCTGAAGTGGCTAGTGAATTTGAACCACTGACCTTGAGACCTTGTGGTTCAAACTAACCTTGCAGTCTAGTGCTTATCCTACATTGCCACATAACTCCAAGCAAATGACTGGGCAGGACTATGCAACTGTAAGGATTTGTGGCCCAGCTTGTTAATATGTAAATAAGGTACACTGTGGGGTGGGAACATGCAAATGAGGTATATGGAATTCTAAGGAGGGAATTAGTTAGTTCTGTTGTCTGGGTAGGTTTAAAACCAGCCAAATCAGAAGCAGGAACAGAAATGGCACTAAGAAAGAAGAGTTAGGAGTGGGGCACATCCTTTGGATTCTGAGATCCCTGTGCTGAACCCCCTTCATCTATGACACAGAGATCAGTGACAAACAAAGATAGCAGAGAACCAGTAGAGCCCAGGGCAAGAGACAGAGCAGTGGGCTTCCTAACCCACATGGTGAGAAAGCCTTTCAGCAGGATGCTTGTTACCAGACTGGGTTGCTTCCAGGCAGTTATAAAAGGAGCGAAGTTTGATGACCCATAGAGCTAGAAATGAGAGTCTACAGGTGAAAGCTTAATGGCAGAATAGGCACTTGGATCCACAGAGCTATACTTGCCCACACAGGTCAGAGGCCAAGGAACCCCTAGGCTGAAAGGCAGAGAGCTGAAAGACCTTTGTAACTATGTGATACCAGGGCCTGATATCAGGAGGGTGTCCTGAAGAAAGAATTGTGCCCTGAGCATTCCTGGGGAGCGTGGTGGTTCCATAGATAAACACTGGATTGAGAATCACAAAGAATGTGGTTCGAGTCCACCTGCCACTCTGTGGTAGAAATACGAGGGTTTCTGTTCCCGTGAAGATTTAAAAAGCCTCGGAAATCCTATATAGGGTCGCTATGAGTTGCAACTGACTCCACAGCACTTCACAAGAACAACACTACTTCCCTAATACACTCTAGGATTGTGAGTCTGGTCTGTGAGTTCTGTGTGGTCACTAAAACAAACCCAGCAGAGAAAGAGAGAGTGCCGCTGGAGGGATGGGTGGTAGAACTGGTAAACAAGGTTGGAGGATGGAGGTCTCATAGGAATCGCCTTGGGCTGATATTGAGTTAATTCTCCTACCCCTAGTGAAGTCAGATGATGTCCCAGGCCATTCTTGCTGGACTGGCTCTCAGGAGTGCTAGGAGCATGGCTCGACCCTCATCCTCAGGGCTCTCAGAGCCCATGAAAACTGCTAAGTACAACAGTGTTGTTGTTGATAAGTGCTGGTGAGTCAGTTCTGACCCATAGCAACCCTGTATAGGGTTTCCAAGGAGCAGCTGGTGAGCTTGAACTGCTGGCTTTGCAGTTCAAATGGCTTTGCAGTCTGGCGCATTAATCCACAGCGCCACACCAGGACTCCAAGTACAACAATGGCTGAGACCATTGAAGAGCAGCTCCAGCCAATAGTGGAATACCATTCAGGGAGCGCTTCCCTGAGGAAGTGGCTGGTTCCTGGCATCCTCCCCAGAGCCAATAATGGAGAAGGGACTGGCGAATTACTGGCTACTAATTGGCAGAGCCCTGGTGGCTTAGTGGGTTATGTGTTGGGCTGTTAAACTTGAGGTCTGAATTCACCAGCTGTTCCGTGGGAGAAAGATAAGGCTTTCTGCTCCTGTCAAGATTTAGGTGGCTTCATAGGATAAGCACTGGGCTGCAAACCACAAAGTTGGTGGTTTGAACCCACCAGTTGCTCTGCGGGAGAAAGATGAGGCTTTACAAGAGCTACAAAGACAGTCCCCACCCCCCTCCCCATGTGGTCCACACCAAGCAAATTTTGAGGACTGGTCTATTCCAGGATACCATATTTCTCCTTACACAGAGTTTTCATGTGTACTTGCTTGCCTGGGGAAATCCACTCCCCAGACAGCGTCACCCACACCTCCACTCAATATCTTCTCCCCTTCCCTCTCCCAGCCTGAACCCTGCTGAGGGGCTTTCCTTAAACTCGGCCTCAGATTCCTCCTGCACTCCACCATCCTCAGTGTTGGGGGTAGACCTCAATCAGGCCCCCATTCGTGTGGGGCTTTTCCCGCTGGGTCTTTGGTGAGTTGTCCAGCACACCCACAGTATTATGGTAAGGGATGTCTGGGTTGATAACAGCGTTTCACACCTATACAGGTAGACACACTGGGATCACAAACAGGCTTGGGGTACAAGAGAAGGTAGGCAAGTATTACTGTTCCTTTTTATGAATAAACCCAGCGATGCTCGGAGAGAATGAAGAAGTCACATTTCTGACCCCCCGATACTCCCGCTTGCCATATCCTCCCAAGGCTAGAACTCCCACCTGACCCATCGCACCAGGTAAAACCCCAGGTCCCTTTCCCCAAGCTATTACCTTCTCGGGGTTCAGGTTCGGTGCCCCGATAGCGGCCAGTGGCACGGGCATCCACCACCTGGAAGCTCCGGGCCTCGAGGTTCTCCTTGATGTCCTCAAATGTCTTGATGAAGGCAGGGTCTAGCTCTGAGCGGAATTCGGCGGGCACGGGATGGCTCTTGCCCGAGCTGAGCGGGAAGCCCAGATGCTGCCAGTGGCGGAGGCCACCGTCCAGCAAGGACACTGCGCCGTGGCCGAAGGCGCGGAACATCCACCAGACACGTGGCGCAGAGTAGAGGCCCTGGTCACTGGCGTCATATACCACGACGTGTGTGGCAGCACCCACGCCCAGGCGGCCCACATACTCAGCAAAGTGCGAAGCGCTGGGTAGCATGTGGTCGTAGGGCGACGTGCGGTCGCTGCACTGGTCCAGGTCGAAGAAGGCGGCACCCGAGATGTGGCGCTCCTCGAACTCGCGGCGAGCATCGCGTCCCAGTTTGGGCAGGTACCAGGAAGCATCAAGCAGCTGCAGTGGCGTCCCAGCGCGAGGCGCTCGAAGCGCCTCGGCCACCCACTGCGCAGACACCAGGGCACGGAAGAGCTGGGGGGCCATTGCAGCTCCGGTACTCGAGCTGCAGGCCTGGGCCACAGGGAAGAAGTCAGAAGGAAAGTGAGGGCGGAGTCAGCCCCAAGGTGGGAAACGCCCACTGGTGGGGCAGGGGCTGGGTCTGGAGGGGGAGGAGGAGCCTGCAAAGGGCAGAGTCCAGTAAGGGCAGAAATCCAGCTGTGGTGACCCTGGTCCGCCTCCTGCCAGGACTTGGCTGTAAATTCAGAGTCACACGACCTAATAATGTCTAGGATGCCTTGAAGACAGCCAGGCAACCACACACCTTGTAGGGGCAGGTAGGTGGAGGACCCCAGGCGAAAAGGTCTTGTTGGCACTTTTGGGCAAGCAGGGACAAAGTCTCAGCCTGTTCCCAGGAGGCAACTCACCTTGTTTTGCAAACAAACCAGTTTGCCTGTTGGGATTCATTCATTCACTCACTCAACCAGCATTTCTGTAAGAATCCTTAATAGTAGCTGGAATTTCCTGAACACTTGCTAAGCCCATCAAGCCAACTCACAGGAACCTGTAGGACAGTAGAGCTGCCCCCATAGGGTTTCCAAGGATTGTTGTGGGTTAATGTGCCAGACTGCAAAGCCATTTGAACTGCAAGGTCAGTGGTTCAAGCTCACCAGCTGCTCCTCAGAAACCCTATACAGGGTCGCTATGGGTTGGAACTGACTCAATAGCACGTAACAACAACAACATATCTTCACTGAGGCAGGCTAATTCATCTTTCTACTTGAGTGCTTGCTAGGTGTCATTCCCTGTTCACAACACCTAAGGACAATGCCTGGCATACAGTGAGCCCTCAGTAATTTCCCGCAGTTATTTATTTTGTTAAACAGGTCCAAATGGACATTATTCTCCCATTTCACAGAGAGTTCCAGAGGCTTAGAGAAGTTCACAAACTGCCAAGAAATAGTGGTACCAGACTTCACACTGGGCAGTCTGACATTCAAATCCAGACTTCTCACTGACACACGTCATGTGAGCTTGGGGAGCCCAGCGGGCCAGATGTTGCGCTTCCACCCTGAGAAGACTTCTGGTATGACACTGTGGGTTAATGCGCTGGGTTGCAGTCGGTTTGAACCACAAGGTCGGCAGTTCAAGCTCACCATTCACTCAGAAACCCTATACAGGGTTACTATGTGTTGGAACCGATGTGACGGCACATAACAACAAGTGGCACCATAGGATAAGCACTCGAACTGCAAGGTCGGTGGTTCAAACTCACCAGCCGCTCCTCAGAAACCCTATATATGACCACAATGGGTCACTCGATGACCCATAGCAACAACAATGGCAAGAACAGTGATTTGGAGCCTCACTCCCTCTTCCCTCCACTGCCCCTGCTGGACAGGGATAGAAGTGCATTTGGCCAGGACTCTGACATCTCAGTCACCTTTCCAGGGTCCAGAGTCTACAAACACATTGAGTCATAAGGTGCCTTTATGCAGATTAGAGAAAGTGTCCCTTCTGTTAGGCAGCCCCCACTTCTTCCTCAGCCCCAGACACACTCACCGAAACCACCTGCATCCAAGCCTCCCCAAGTCTCCTCACATGCTGACTTCAGGAATGCACTTTGCCCACAAGGCCCTATGCATTGTTGAGAAAGAAGGCTAGGGGCCTACTTTAGAGACGACAAGGCAACTGGGGACCCATGAGAGCCTAATGTGAGCACGGAAGGATTGCTAGCATAGCCTGGGCTGCAGGCAGGTGGGAGGGCATCCTGGAGGAAGGGGAAAGTCTGAGCTGACGTGACCTTTTCAGGGGTCCAGGAAACTGACCCTCAGGACAAAGAGGCTGCCAAAGGGGCCTGGGCAAAAGGGTGATCCAGTTTCTGTGGGTTTCACCACAGTCGGATGACACTGGAATGCTGTAGACTTCTTGAAGACCCCACCTGTGAATCACAGCAGCTTCTGCCTCTCCCACACTCTTGGGCTCCTTGGTTTTGCCCCCCTAAGAATGCACTTGAAGTGGCAAGAAGGTTTGGGAATCAGACCTTCCCAAAGTCAGGACGCAGGCCACCTCTGCTTTCTTCTAATGGTGCTTCCTGCCCCCATGTCTCATAAAGAAGACCGAGTAATGAATGTCAAGGGAGCACAATGCATTCCACATAGTTGTTCTTCATAAGAATTAAAAACAGTTTAATAAATGCCCATTAGTTCCTCAAATTTACTCTCACAGGTGGCCTTTGAACGGACTGAAGTAATGCTAGAATCTTACAACTTTCTGAGCGTCCCTTCGGGAACTGTGGGTAGGATAGCAGGGTTTGGAAGACAGGTTGTGTGTATTGTCCCTGAAGGTCCCCACCAGAAAGAGGGACCAGGTCACTGTGTGCTTGCTGGGCTAGGATCAGTGTAGGTTGGGGTGCTCTGGGTGGGCCCCTAAAGAGTGGGACTTGTATCAGAGTGCTCTCTGGACAAGGACTTGCCCTGCCTGGTCACCTGGGGCAGGCACCCACTGCCAACTCAAGCATGGAAGATTCTTTAGGTAAGTGTTTATCCAAATATGCATTTCTGCAACTTCCTGTGAAGATATAGAGTTATTTAAAAAAAAAAACAAAAAAAACAAAAAAACCCCAGGTATATGGAACACAGTGTCTCCTACCAATTAGATTTTCAGAAATTTTTGTCAGCTGTTTAAACATAGCCGCTGTCAAAAATTAAATTATATTTACTCACAATTAAATAAATCATATTAAAAACAAAGGCAATCTAAAAGAGTAAGAGACCATCCAAGGGCTCCAGGGATGAGGAAGATAA